AGGGAAACCCAGTTCTGGTGGATTAATCTTGAACAACCACCCAGTTTTGTCTCAAAGTTCCCACTGATAAACTGTGCAAAGGTTCAGCTCAGGTATCCAAGGAGCAAATTCCAGCCTTAATCCTACCTTCCCAATAAATGTCAATGTGTCTGTTCCTGTACTCACCTTTTTCACAGTTGTCTCCTCCAAATTTGGGGGGGCAGATGCAAAAGTAAGTGTAGTGTCTTATTTTGCAGACTCTACCATTTTTACAGGGCTTTGCACTACATGGATTTAAACCTAAGAGGAAGCAGGAAGACATAGTGTAATTCCAGGAATCAAGCCTGGCTTTAAACTGCCACATAATTCTTGGTACCCAGAAGGGACACAAGAAATGGATTTCTTAAAAAAATACCTTTTTTTACCTACCTTTGTAATGGAACCAAAAGTCTATCTGCCAAAAGGAATCACAAATGAAGGAATCAGTCAATAAATGAGAAAAAAAAGTTGGTTTAGGGTACATGTGAATTAACATTTTTATTAGAAGCACAAAATACTTTCTCAGAGCAGATCCCTGATCAGCAGCATGCACATTGCTTTCATTTGCATTGTGGGCCAGCCACAGAATGTGTACACTGGGCTGTACTGGAATGAAAAGGAGATGGAAAGCTTAGAGCCGTAAACACTGCAGCCAGTGAAGAAGTCTGTGGTCCCAGCCCAGGACTTCTGAGTGACACAGTGATGAATCTCTTCCAGAAAATAGTTGGCATTTATGGACTTTCAGCACCTCATGGGCTTCATCTTTGCTCACAAACACTAGGGAAAAAAAAATAAATGGAACAGTTGATACTGGAGAAGAGCAAGTTGGCATCATTAGAGCCACAGCTGTGCTTGCTTCCAGTTGAGTAAACAATATAAAGAGGTAACAATCCACAGGAAAATAACATTAGCCTGTGTTCCAACAAAAGAACACCAGGAGTTTAAGTGTTCTTTTAGGGAATCAAAAGATCAACGACTGAGACTTGCAGATGAGTGCAGAATTTTTTTTTATTCCACAAGATTTCAGAACATTACAGCTTCTTCTTCGGCAGCTGGTTGTATTTTTCTGCCCCACCATCCTGCTTCACAACAATTACTAGTTGCTTGGCTGTGTGTGCACGTGGAAGCAAAGATGCAAGGAGAGGTTTGGTCTGTATTTGGTGTCAGCTTTGTTAGATACTCATCAGGGAGACCCAGTGCTTTCCAGGCCGGACAGACACCACTCCTTCAGTCAACGAAATACATCAAGTCTTGGTTTTGTACTTACATTTAGTTCCTCTCAACTTGGCTTCACTACCTGCCCTCCTCCTGCAATGTCTTAAGAGCTATTACTGCTGATAAATTAAGTGAGGGGTAGCCAGAAGAGGGACTATGGCAGTAAGGTCCTCCCCAGGTACTCCTCCTGCTGCTCCATAGCAAGTCTTTGCCGTGGCATCTCTAGCTGAAGTGCAGTGCTCCCAGAGTTTTCCAGCCAGGATGCTCTGAAGGAAAATTACACCATTGTGGATATGCCCATCTCATCCCTCTTGACCCTACTTCCAAACCCCATCCCTCTGGCAGATGAAGGAGCTGCTGCTAAGAAGCATTTTACGAAGAAAGCTCACCCTGTGATCCTAACAAGGCTGCTAAAATCCATAAAGCAGTTCACTTGACAGTTCTCTGTTTCCCTACTCATGGTTTAGTGTCCTAGACAAGCCCTCTGACAGTGAACCCAGTTTTGGAGATGGACCATAAACACATATTTCTTTGCAGCTGTGGGGTGACTATCTCTGGCAATGACTGAAATTGAACAATAATATTGAATTTCTTAATTTATAGGCAATTAGAAAAAGCCCACAAAAACTCTCAGGCAAGAAAAGCTTTTGGGCAGATCCTGATGTCTGGGGCAATGGTTTGAAGCTTAAAGAGGGGAGATTCAGGTTGGACATTAGGAAAAAGTTCTTCCCTGTAAGGGTGATGAGATGCTGGAACAGGTTGCCCAGAGTGGTCATGGAAGCCCCATCCCTGGCAGTGTTGAAGGGCAGGTTGGATGGGGCTTGGAGCAGCCTGGTCTGGTGGGTGTCCCTGCCCATGCAGGGGGTTGGATCTAGATGATCTTTAAGGTCCCTTCCAACCCAAACCATTCTATGATTCTATGAAAATGTCCTTCACTTACATCAGTGAAACTGTCCTTGACCACCCCTGGGGTCATCTTAAGAGGATTTACCTCTGTTTAGGTACCTCATAGAGGATGTGCCTGTTGTAAAACCTTCTGGTTTGCAGATGCCACTCCCTCTTCTGCTCTTCCTCCTCTGCCAGGACAGCTGTAATGATTTGTGAGATCCTGCACATTCTCAGGCCTGTTCCCAACCTCCCTGAAGCCAGTTCCAGACCTTGTATAGTTGTGGTAAAATCAATGTGAGGTCAGAGAACACATATTGAAAATGCCATGCAAAAATAAATCCAACCTTGGGTTGAATATCATACGGAGAATATTCAATGGGAAACTTCAATGGGATATTGGTGGAAGTGGGAAGTTAAAAAAGGTTGATGTCTCTTGGAAATATATATATAAATATATATATGAATATTCATTTTTCTCTTGTGCATTTCAGAATGAGCTTCTTCAACCCAGAGGACAATAGAGGAACATATTTTCAGTTTAAATGCCAAGATTGCCACAATAAGACAATTAAAAAGGTAATTCTGAATATGAAAAGGGACAGCTGCTGTTGATGGAGCACATCAGCAGGAGAAACACCACGAGTGAGGTACTGCTCTCCATTTAATGAGCATTCAGAATACTCTGACTTCCTCCTGATTTCCTTCTGAGGGAAAAGAAGATTTAAATTGGTATATGGTCACAAAAACAAGGGTGAATTAGTGTCCTGATTTTAGGACAGAACTGATTTTGTCATGTTAAACTGTGATGATTAGCCTGAAAAAAAAAAAAGAAAAAATAAGAAAAAAAGATGAAGAAGTAGAAGCAAGAGGACAAGAGAAGGGACAAAGAAATCAAATTCTACCCAGTTTGTTTTGATCTGATGGCCATTGTTTCTCCAAGCCACAGCAACACTGCACAAAACGAGTTCCAACACTGGCAAGGCAGTATGTGAGATGGACCTGGCCCAGGATGTGGAGCAGGGTCTGATCCAGAGCCCACAGAAGCAATACAAAAGCTCTGGTGCCCATGGGAGATGTGGAGCAGGCCCAGAGCTCACGGGGGCTGGAGTCAGCACCAGCCCAAGCCTGGGGCAGCTGCTGGGGACAGTGAGGGGCCTGTCAGGTGAGGCCAGGCACACAAACCCGCTGAGGAAACCATCCAGCACACACCCAGCTGTGCAAGTTACTGGATAAAGTCTGTATTTCGTCATGTTACCTTTCAGGCTAAATCATCTACCAGGACTAGATGCCACATACCTCTTTGCTCTCTGTATCATGTTTCCGAACCACAGGATCCAGAATGCACTGACTTCACACAGAACCATGCAATTATACTCACTTTCTTCTTCAGTTTTTTAGAAGACAGGAGAGAGATTTGGATGTACACCAGAAACAGCCAAGAGGTCAAGAGGTTGATCATTAACCAGTCACAAATATTGACAGAGACAAGCTTCTGACCTCCATGGAACACATTTGAAATCCAACATCAGAAGAAAATTGTGGGCATTTACACACACACACGTGTGCATTACAATTTTAAAAAAAGAAACAAAAAAAAAGTCCTTGATAACAACCTTCAACAACAAAAGCTACTTCTTTGCAACAAATTTCTGCAGGAAAATCTGGAATTTTTAAGAGATTGTTTCTGATACTCCCTCATCTTTTTTTTTCAGTAGGCAAGACCAACTGATCTGGAAAATACACAAGCAGTTCTGTCAACATCTGTTGAAATATGCAGAGCTGTGAGTGTGTAGAAGGATCCACAAGCAGTCACCTGCAGGAAGGCGAATACTGACCTGCAACAGTCACAGCTACACCTTCTGCCTTTAATTAGACCGGAGTTGTACTGGCTTTGAACACCATCATGTTCTTCCTTGCACTTCAGTGATGAGCAGGATCAGCCTTCTTGGAAGCATGTGTTCTTGGTGCAGGCTCTGGCTGGAGGGCTGCTCCTCAAAATGTCTTAATTATTGAAAAATATGGTTTAACCTTTGTTGATCCTTAAACACAGTCCCAAATAAAAAAGGGGAAGGGGAAAAAAAGGGAACAAGCAAACCAGAGAGTGTGACATACAGATGTCTGACTGTAGTCCAGTTTCAGGTCACCTCCAACAGGAAGCCCTCAGCCTGTTAGTTCTTTTATGCATTAATCAACTTCAGCACTTGCTTAATAAGCTTGTAAGACAACAAGACTTAGTCCACAGGTTTAAGAGGTATTAAGCCTCTTTGCTGGCACCATCTTAAATTTCTTGCCATTTTCTTGCACCTGAGGTTTTTTTCATCGAACAATCTCATCACAACAGCAGTCTGAAGTTCTTCACTGATGCAAATATGGATCAAAATGCTGATTGAGATGTTGGAAACGTTTAATTGTGCCAAAGTTAGTTTCACTTTTTGTTTTCCTTAGAAGTTTAATTATATTTAGCAGGCTTAAGTGCTAAGATTAAAACCAAGTATAAACGTGATATTAAACTTCATTTTGACTATTAATACATCCTCTGAAGTTCCTTTATTTACTCTTTACTGATGCACACACAAACACACAGATGCATACACACACACACGGTTATCAGCAGGTATTACCATGCTAGTATGACCTGCAGCTGGTGGCATCCACTACAAATGGGAATGAGCAAGTGTTTGCTTAGCTTGCTCATTGAAGAGATACCTCAGGATAAATAGAGTATGAAAAAGCTTGGAATTAAACCTTCTTTTCTTAATAACATCAGAATCAGGCATTGAGTGTACAAAGAAAATTGTACACATTGAGTGTACAAAGAACATAGAATACAGAGAAGCTGTAGTGACCAGCTGGATGGACCTTCCTGGTGAGCACTGGAGCAAGATTTGAACGAGTGGAAACAGTCGGGGATGTGGTTAAAATTTCATTGTGTTGAAAGAACAACTCTACAGAGCAAACCAAAAGAGTTGCTGTGGATAGGATGTCAGAATAAAGCTGCAATGGCAGCACTGTATCACCATGGTGATTGTTAAAACACTTTTCTCTGTGCCTTCCTGTCCCCACCCCAACCAATTCAGATGTTTGACACTTAAGAGCTGGAGTTGTCTGGTCATGGCCTGGTTTATTTTCTACATCTTAGCTCAACGGGGTGTTGCTTCTTACCTGCAAGGCCTGATCAGATCCATGCTACAAATAACACAACCTGGAAACTCAGCAGTGCAAGCAATGTAAAAAAGTAATTAAAGAAAAAAAAAAAGAGGTACCAAGGAAAACAGTAGACAAGTTTAACATACACTCAACATTTAATTCTGCAGAGATGACAGTCCATTACACTGCTTACTGTCACTAGCAGGTAGCCACAATATTCCAGCCCCTCAGTATCAAGTCAGCCCTTCCATGAAACTGACATCTCATCTATGTGGTGTTGGATCCACTGAAGGTACTGACTAACTTTGGTGTAGACTCCAAATTTCTTCCTGTTTCCACAGCCTTCACCCCAGCTCACCAGTCCTACCAAGAACCAAGTCTCCTTATACGTAGTGACCATGGGGCCTCCACTGTCCCCAATGCAGGAATCCTTTCTGTCTCCCAGGCTCCCAGCACACAGCATGTTGTCAGTGACAGGAAATCTCATGGCCTGGGCACACTCGTTCCGGGCAACAATGGGGATTTGGATGTAACTGAGGAGATTAGAGTAAATGGTGTCAACTTCACTTGTGCTGCCCCAGCCAGTTACCAGCATCTGCTTCCCACTTCTTGTCAGCTCCTGTTCTGACAGGTGACGGGTGGGAAGGCAGATAGGGAGCGCATATTTGTTGTACACCACGGGCTCAGCCAAGTGCAGCATGGCTATGTCATTATCCGAGGTCTCCTTGGTGTAATTCTCGTGGCTCACATATTTATCAACCCAAATGGCTTGCTCATCTACCTCGGTACGGAGACGGTGGAATTTACCTGGAAGAGCAAGATGACAGATGCTACTGAACCTTGAACACCAATGCACCTGGAGTAACTTGGGATTTAGAACTGTACTTCATGCTTTTCCTTCCCTTGTAATACAGACATTTGTTAATTTTATGTTGCATCATAGAATCACAGGGACTAGAAGGGACCTCTGAAGTCCAACCCCCTGCTGCAGCAGGAACACCCAGGGCAGATCACCCAAGAACATATCCAGACAGGTCTTGAAAGCCTCCAGAGAAGGAGACTCCACCACCTCTCTGGGCAGCCTGTCCCAGGGCTCCATCACCCTCACAATAAAGAAGTTTCTCCTCATGCTGAGGTGGAACGTCCTGTGTTGTTACTTGGTGCTGTTTCCCCTCATTCTATCACAGGCCCCACTGAACAGAGACTGGCCCATTCTTGACACCCACCCTGCAGATATTTATAGACATTAATAAGGTCTCAGTCTTCTCCAGACTGAACAGCCTTTCCTCATATGACAGATGTTCCAATCCCTTCATCATCCTTGTAGCCCTTTGTTGGACTCCAGTATATCCCTGTCGCTCTTGAACTGGGGAGCCCAGAACTGGACACAATACTCCAAATGTTCCTAACGGATAAATCTGCAAACTTTCTATACTTACCTAGATGCTCAGCATATATCACACTACATGAATTAGTACCTAGAGCTGTGGCCATCGGTTGTGTTCACACCACGATATGCTTCTGCCACAGGAGAGGTCTTCTTCAGGAGGAAGCAATCTTCTGGGAGGCAGCAGTAAAAGTTGGGAGAGCCAGCACACAGCAAAGCTCTTAGACACAACAGTGCAGGAGCTTTATGCTGCATAACCAGTGCCCAACTGCCTGAACTTTAGGATTTGCAAGATAATGACTGACTGATGAGGTTATTTCTTTCTGAAATCTTGCATCTGTATTTCAAGGAATTTTTGACCACTTAACACTTATGGTCATGAACGTTTGACCACTTAAGACTTCTCAGGGTTGTTTGTGCTATGCAGTTATGGAACAATAAGCAGGAAACTAAGGTGAAAAGGGCCAGGAAGGCAAGAATGAGCCATTTGCAAAATGCTGGAAAAGGAAAGACCATGACAGATCTCTCTGACAGGCTGTGAAGAGATAGTCTCAAGAGTAATTATCAGTGGCTGTCACATTTCTGAACTACTTCAGTGTGTAGTTGATCAAAATGCTTCTTCAGAGAGCTGTCCATCCTGTATGGTCTAGCTGCAGGTCCAAGTGCAAGAGAACATCCATGCCCACACGTCACCTCTGCCCACACTGCAGCTGTGTGACCCTGTATCCTTCCCTTCTTGCTGTCTCTAGAGGTGAGCTGGGAGTTGTTCATTATCACTACCTTTTAAAATGCCTACTTCACAAGATTATCCTACAAATTTGTTCCCTCACCCCCCTATTTGTTTTCTCTCAGTCTTTGAAACCCTCTTTGATACAAACTCTGCAGCCAAGCTGCTCTGATGTTGTATGACCAAGTCTTCTGAAGTTGCTTCAGCGTAAGGTCTCCTGTGCTTGAGCCTTTCAATGAGGTCTTGAAGCTGTTGGGGTTTTCATTTTCTGTAAATAGTGTCTTCAAACATCAGGACTATGCGATCCACAGTAGTTTGAGAAATACATTCTCAAAACCCCCCTTCAGTCCAGCTTTGGATCTTGAGCTTCCAGAGCAATAATTTCTGAGCCTCTCTTGCTCCTCTGCAGACAACCAAGGGAGATTTCATATATGGCCACAGTAGACAGTGAAACTGCTCTGACAGGCACCTGTATCAAGTGGCACGAAAGCCTGAAGAACTTGCTCTTTATCAAGCCAACACTCACAGGTCTGTTTTTTCTGGGTGACCCGCCTAGTGGATGAGGGGAAGGCTGTGGATATGGTTGACCTCGACTCCAGCAAGGCCTTGGACACAGTCTCCACAACATCCTCCTGGAGAAGCTGGCAGCCCACAGCTTGGACAGGTGCACCTTTGGCTGGGTCCAAAACTGGTTGGATGAGCAGGCCCAGGGAGTGATGGGGAATGGAGCTGCATCCAGCTGGTGTCTGGTGACCAGTGGTGTCCCCAGGATCAGTACTGGGCCCAGTCCTGTTCAACATTTTTACTGACAACCTGGATGTGGGGACTGAGTCCACCCTCAGTAAGTTCACAGATGACGCCACGTTGGGGGGGATGTCGATCTGCTGAAGGGTGGGAAGAAGCTGCAGGGGGACCTGGACAGGCTGGGTCAATGGGCCAAGGCCAATGGCATAAGGTCCAACAAGACCAAGTGCAGGGTCCTGCACTTTGGCCACAATCACCCCCTGCAGCACTACAGACTGGGGGAAGAGTGGCTGGAGAGCAGCCCAGCAGAGAGGGAACTGGGAGCACTGGTTGACAACCAGTTGAACATGAGCCAGCAGTGTGCCCAGGTGATCCAGAAGGCCAATGGCATCCTGGCTTGTGTCAGGAATGGTGTGGCCAGCAGGAGTAGAGAGGTGATTCTCCCCCTGTGCTCAGCACTTTTGAGGCCTCATCTCGAGCACTGTGTGCAGCTCTGGGCCCCTCACTGCAAGAAGAATCTTGAGGTGCTGGAGCAGGTCCAGGAGACAATGAGGCTGGTGAATGGACTGGAGGGAAAGTCTTACAGGGATGGGCTGAGGGAGCTGGGGGTGTTTAGTCTGGAGGAGACTCAGGGGGGACCTTCTCACTCTCTTCCACCACCTGAAGGGAGGTTGTGATCAGGTGGGGTTGGGCTCTTTTTCCAGGCAACCAGCAACAAGAGAAGAGGGCCTGGCCTGAAGCTGCTCCAGGGGAGGTTTAGGTCGGATATCAGGAAGCACTTCCTCATGGAGAGGGTGATCAGACATTGGAATGGCCTGCCCAGGGAAGTGGTGGAGGCACCATCCCTGGAGGTGTTCAAGGAAAGGCTGGATGTGGCACTTAGTGCCATGGTCTGGGGATGTGGTGATGTCAGATCATAGGCTTTTCCAGCCTTGGTGATTCTGTGTCAGAGCATAGTTTCTGCTAGGCTCCACATGCTCTGAACACAGGCATAGATACCCTCAGGTACCTATGGACAACCAAGTGATAGCTGTCACACTGGTGCTACTGTAGGAACAGCTGCCTCCAGCCCAGGAGAAGACCCTTTGAACCTCTGGTCCTGAATGCTCCTTTTCTCAGTTGAGTTATCCAGGTTCATATTCCAGAAGTCCTATCCACACACCAGAGGCTCTGTGAAATGCATCTGGTTCCTTCTACACAATAATGAGCACCTTCATGTTGTTGCTGGGAAAAAAATATTAACTGAGAAGTGCTACATAAACAAGGAAATGTAAGGCCTGTTCTCTGAAGGCAGAACCAGTATTTTGAATGGAATTATTGTTTTCACCTATCTGCCCTGTTTTCTTGGGAGATCTCAACACATTTCTGGATGCTCTTAACAAGGATGGAGGAACAAGTCTCACAAACAGGAAAAACAGGTTGTTCTCAAATCTTCCACGCTTCAGCTACTCTGACTTTCACTTCAGTCCCTAAGAAGGCACGTGGGTCCTGCTGCAGGACTGCTCCCTGAGCTCCTGAGCACAGCCCCAGGTGTGACTGCCCCTCCATGTCTGCTTGTGTGGGTGGCAAGCAGAAAGCGGCAGCAGGATGAGTCCAGAACAGTGTTGGGTGTCCCAGTCTGAGAGAGACAGGTCAAGTATCAGCCCTGCAGCCTCAGTGGAACATCTCCACCACTGTCATGGAGCTCATGCCTGCCCCATAGACACAGCAACCTCTCCATTCCAGGCTCTCTATCTACCTCATTAGGTACCTCCATGTACCTGAAGACATCCAGGGATTAAAGCATGCAGCTTTCTGATGAGAACTGCTTTTAAAAGTGCATGTAAAAGGACAACCATGTGGTGTTAGGCTGGGTCTTAAAAAGGTCCCCTTCTGCTGGACCTGGATTTTCATTTGGAGAAGAATCTCTTCCCTCTTGGCTGTGGACATCTCAGTCCTGTATACACCACTACCACAGTAAAGGACCCTCCTGTGGCTTCCATCTCACCACAGCAGCACTGCTGAAGGATGAATGAGAAGGGTTCTGCTCTCGTGTCACAACTGTCAGTCCATGGTCACACACTTGCTTCTTCCTCTAATAACAAGGAAAGTCTTTTGGGCAGCTAGCAAAGTGAGAGAAATTCCAGCCCCTACTGCTGACCATCCTTTTTCTCTTTACTCCCCTCAAATCTACAGGTAAGATATCTCCTGAGTCTCATTTAAGATTATAAAAAAGCACCAATCTTCTCAAGTCAGGGTTCTCAAGTGACGACACTTCTCACTGAAAATCACTTTTTATTCTTGCCAGAACACATCCCTTTTTCTTTGCTGCAGAGATTTCTGGGCATGGCAACCCCAGCTGAAAGCTTGTCCATCTGCACAGATCTCTACCAAGACCTGCAGTCACGGGAGTAATTTAAGTGCAGCCTCAATACATCCCCCATAGTTACCACTTCCCTGCTGACCTGTCCTCTTCAGATGACACTCAAAGCTACATCTAGAACTACAGAGCATTCAAACACTGCATCTGACAGTTGCTTTTCCCCTAGAACATTCCAAGATCCTTTACCAAGCAAACTGCACAGATTTCTTCTTTTTGGGTCTCGCTAAAACTAAATGTAAATATTGGCAATCGCTTAAAAGGGAAGAAAATTACTTTCTAGTAATAAAGATGTGTAGTCCATGTGCATGTTTCCAAACTATCACACACACTTCTCCTTGGAAGTTCCTCTGTGGAAAAGGTGGATATTCTGGGTCTAAGAGAACCCAAGGCTGTATCCTATGCTTTTCCATTCATCCCTTATGTTGAACCACAGAGGATGTACATAAACACATCTATTGTCTGTGTTCTGCATGTTCACAGGGTACATGGAACATGCACACAGAAAATATATCTCCAAGGCTGTGCCTACAGACTATATATCTGCAAGACACCACAATTACTGGGAACAAGCTATCCTTTCACTAAGGGAGAAAGAAAGCAGTTGAACTGTTTTGCCTCTGTCATCAGTGGTAGATAGAAAACACTAATTAAAAAATTCTGCTAAAGCATGAAGGGAATTCTAATTATTTTTGTTTGTTAATTCAGGAGCAGTACTGTATCTGCCATAGATTTTCTCACTCTTAAGAGCAGCAGTGCCAGGAAAGGCAGTGTTGCCACTCTGCAGCACCTCTCCTCGACTGAAGCTCTCCTAAGTAATAGTGTTCAAATGTATGAAAAGGCAGGAAGGTATTGGGATGACCTTCAATATTTTCATCACCAGAAACATACAAGCAGAAGAGACCAAGTCTTTCTATTTTACAAACAAGCAGCAGTGCTCAGAAGACATCAGCTCACTTCCACAGTAAGGCTGATAAGTGGGGCAAATGAAACCAGATTTTTACTGAACGTTTTTGTTCTGTGCTAAGGTGCGTATTAAATACTTCCTAGACGACCTACTCCTACAACCAAGAAGGAATTTAGTCTTCATAACCTGCTGGTCTTTCTCCTGAGATGATAAACCTTGGGAATGAGAGAGTTGTTTTAACAAAAAACAAAACAGGGACAGACTTTTTTTCCATACCAACTCTTACTTTGAGCCCCTCTTCTGTCTCCGTGCAGTGAGCTGCCGTTAGGACCCAAGACGGATGGATGAGAACACCCCCGCACAGGAACTTCCCTTTGCTGTTTTGCAGCATAATCTGAAACAAACAAAAAAAAAAGACAGATCTGACACTGCATGGAGCATTGCTCACAAAATGTTGTACACATTCTTCTTTGTGGCTGAAAAATGCCCAGACACCTCAAGCACCAAAGCACATCACAGTCATTGAAACCAAAGCTCTACAGTGGGGCAAAAGTCCTGTGAATAAGGTCTCTGTGGAACACCTACAAATAAGTTTTGGATATTCATCCTAAATGAAGACTAGCTTCAACCAAATCAGCAGAGATGATGCTGGTCACTGCAAAGAAGCACTTTGGTACTTCAAAGTTTTGAAACACAGAGTTCAAATGGGGCAATTTTTCTTGTGTTCACACCAAAAGACAGTGCCTCACCTTAGGCTGCAGCTCTCATGCTATATCCAAGAGAACCATCCATCTTTATCATCCAAGAGAACCAGGTCCTCACTAGTTGCACAATAAGCTCTGCAAGGTCTCTCCCTTCCCTGTGATGTCCCAACCTGCTCCATAAAGTCATGACATACTTTGCTGATTAAATCTGCTAACTTGAATTTATGACAGATGAGGCTTATAAGAACAGAACCAAGCAGAAAGGGGGTGATGTCCTCACCCTCCCACCATAAGGCTGTCACAGTAGCTGGAGCATGCAGCATAAGCTGCAGTAATTAAGTGGCCTTCCCCAAAAGGGAGAAAAAGAATAGGTAAGTGTCATCACTACGCGTGAAGCTATTGGCAAGGAAAAGTAAAGCACTTGGCAACAGTGAAAAGGTCAAGAGTCCCAACAACGTAACAAACTATTTTTTTCTGTTACTCCAACTTCTGGGTTGTTTTTGAAAAAGCTAAGCTAGGGGAATTTTGGCTTCATGTGATGCCACTACTAGTAATGTAGGAGTCTTTCTGGAGCAGATAGGCAGGCAGACCTGTTTGGGAAAGAGCTTGAATCATCTCTGGTAAGAAACTCTTTTCTCCTTACCTGCCAAGGGCTGCCTCCCCTTCTCCCTGTTTTTCCTTCAATGAGCCGAATATTCAGTCCGTTATTGGTGTCAACATAGTCCATTTTCACTCTTCCACAGGGGAACTCCACTACAGGAGATGCAAAGAAGTTAATGAGCAAAGACCAGATCACCCAGTCTGAAACCTCCTTCTAAAGGATTCCCTCCATCTCTCAATCCCAGGCAGTGCCTTCATGGAAGTCCCTCAGTGCTTTGCTGTTTCCTGATTCCTCCAGTAGGTCTCCATGAGGCAAACACAAGACAAAGGCACTAAATGGGGATGGAGTTGGGAAATGCAGGCACAGAGTTAACTCTGCATGGAATGGATGTTTTGAAAACATCCAAAACTACAAAGTGAACTACAGACAATTCTCCCGTAAAACTTCATGTTTTAATAATCCTTTGTCAGCTCTGGGCTAGGAATATCCTCGTCTTACCTACAGGTTTGCATGTGGTGTGGTCATTCATCAACTGGTAGCCAGAGGCACAACTGCAAGAGCGGCCCTGGTTGGCAGGGTCTTCCCTACAGAAATGGTCACATCCTCCATTATTGACAGAACAGTTGGTGTATCTGACCTCTATGGAAAATATTAACAGCAAGAGAGACATGAGAAGCTGGAAAGCCAGAGAGTCACAGGAAGCTAAAATAACAAGATGACATTGTGACTGAAGTGAGCAACAGTGACAGTGGATTTGGGTTGGCAGTTTTGGGCTTTGATAGCATGTTGGCCCTGAGACAGCAGAGACCCTGCAGGGGATGTAGTGCAAGTAACTGCAAAATGGTGATGCTAAGTGAGATAAACACTCATCCCTAAATATGCTACCCAGCTCTTGGCCAAGGAAGAAATTGTCACAGTCATGCCAATCACGTATCTGCAGTGGATTGTTTTCTCTCCTGTGTTGTATAAAAAAACAACCACCATCATCCCTCTGCTGACAGTCCTAAAGTAGCTGGAAACCCTGCTTTAAAGAATGATTTCCAGTATTTTTGTAAAATGTAGATATCTCAGCTCTTCAAGCCTCTCTCATGGCAACACAAAGTTCATTTTGCTTGCACAGAAAATGCTTTTACCACATCATGAAGCAAAAGAGAAATCATATAGTAAAGAAAACAAGTATATACTGTGCAATGACAGAAGTGTTGATCATATTACAGAATGCCATTTTATAGTGTTATGTTATAGTGGATTAAAGGCAGCATTTACCATAATTGCACAAAAACCCCTCCCAGCCTTTGTTACAGATGCATGAAAATTTTCCAATGTTGTCCTTGCATATCCCATTGGAACAAGGATGTGGGTTACACTGATCTCCATCTGAAACAGAGCCAGGAAAACAGAATCATACCAAGCTCACAGATCAAACACTAAGATTGACAGACCCTCCCCATGTTCCCAAGCACAACTCCCAGTTTCTGCCCCCTCTGTGGTGCTACCCCAGAGACAAGGGCATTTTGTGTGTTCTGAATTACAGCTGCAGACTGAGTGGAGTGGGCAGAGGGGGAAGAAAGTGCAGACCCTGAGGCAGGTAGGGCAGAGGGAGGTTACTGCAGAAGTGCAGTGATGGGGCTCCTCATTGGACCATGTCAGGCAGGGATGGAGCATCAGAGAGCACTTTGACCAGTGTCTTAGCTCTGGAGAGATGACTGATGGAAAACACAGGTGCACCTCATGTATATATGCATGTATGATAGGACAGGAAAACATTCTTTGCACATCTCACATACAAATGTTCTGGTTTGGTGGGTTTTTTGATAGCAGGGGAAGGGCCCCAGGGGTGGCTCTGGTAAGAAGCTGAGAAGCTGCCCCTGCTCCAAACCAGCCAAGGAGCCATTAGAGGAACAACATATGTGCCTCTGCCATTAACATACAAAAGAAGGGATGCAACACCTGAGCAGACGAGCACTTAAAGAAAAAAAAGAGCTCAGCATGGGAAGAAGAGGGTGCTGGTGGTTGGTGAGGAAGAAGGGGAAGGTGCCCAAGCAGTTTCCCTGCAGCCCATGGCGAGATGGCAGCTCTGCCCCTGCACGTGTGGAGGAAAGTGGGGAACATTCCCTGGGGGTGCCAGGAGGGGTGAACTTGGCCAGTGGACTTGGATTTTATGGCCAGAGGATTTGCTGCCTGTGGCCTTGGATGGTGCAGCTGTGGAAGCCCCCGGGCCAGGGGAGGTGCCTGTTCTCAAACATCCTGTGACTCTGCGGGCAGCGCTGGAGCAGCTCCGGGCTGGTGGGAAGGGCTCCTGGAGGAGAGGTTGGTGGAGGATCTGCCATGGGAGGGACCCGTGGGGAGCAGGGCAGGACTGTGAGGAATCCTTCCTGAGGAGGAAGGAGCA